GAAACCTAATGTTACTCATCAGACAGTGTAAGGACTTGGGAACAACTGGAGGGAACTCTTTGTCATGTTGCAGAAGATGAAAAGCTCATACCTCATTAACAGTGTAAACAACATGAATCTTCTGGTTTCTACTATTTCCTTTCAGACGCGTTGAAACAGATGATCAAAATGTAATAACAATCAATGTATTTTAAATGTCACTTCCGTTACCTTCATTCAATTTAATCAAGACATGCCATCATTTTCCAGGTGGATTAATCTTGTTAAGTAGTTATGTGGCTAATGTAATGTAGATCTTAATTAACATGTTAGCAAGCAGAAGTATTAATATGGACGCTATGAAGGCTTGCAGATGCGGTCTTCTGAAAATACACCAGGCTCTAGGGCTGTCTTAGCAAAAGCAAAGCATGTGACTAAGTTCAGCAGAACAGAAGAGGAGTCTTGTTTTTGTGATTGTGTTGATGGTGACAGTATGAGTTGCTGTGTTTAAAGTTAGGTGATGAACTGTATTATATACCATCAGAAATGATTGTTATGTTGATGTAGAAATTCACGCTAGTATGTATTTGTTCTTTGCGAAATGCAGTGAGATAACAGATTTTAATTTAATTTTATTTCAGTTAGAAATTGCTGTTGATTCTGAAAACAGTGAATCTTGTGAAGCCCACATGAATGTGAAGACTGTAAATCATGTGAAGAATGTAAATTTTTAAGTGTATCAGGGTATTAAGGCATGTTTCTTAATGCCCCCCAAAGGGCCAGATCGTTTGGCTGCAGCTCAGCCATAGGAGTGGTCTTAAGCAGACACTCTCTTTGCAGAATTTCTTTCCTTTTGCCACGATAGAAATATGGGATACTGACCAGAAAACCTGAGATTTTGATTTTTTTTCAGAACCTGTTTTACTGGACTCCTGAAAGCTCATACAAATTCAGAAGCTGCCTTCCTCCTCACTTCACAAAGTAGAGCTCATTAGTACCTCAGCATCTTCAGCGTAACTGAAGTCCGAGATATGTCATAGCAGCTTCTCCAGACAAACTCTCATTTCCTGACTTTTCACTGTATTGTGGCTGTGGGAATTTGTTTTGCATCAGCAGTCAATCTATTGTACACATTTCAAAAAGAATCTGTTTTCACTTGGGTCCTAGGGCACTTAGGTATTAGTGGTAGATATTTTGAACCATAAGTTCATATAGGAAGTGATCAGTGTGGTAACAGTGCATAGCAGTGATTTTTCCACTGAAGAAATTTGTGTAGAAAAGACATTTTCTACTTTCCTGTTTGCCTTTCTGAAACAGTAAGAAATGTCTGGTTGTATAAGTAGGAAATTTACCTGAGGAAAAAAATCAAGCTGTCATTGAAAACCATAGTAATTCCCATGCATTCTTTCTTGGCAAAAAGTCAGTGGAGTGTATGTTTATAGTGAATGGTTTCCCTCACACAGCTGTACCGTAAATTTCTTTGGAATTCCAAGTCATCTGTGAAAATACCTAACTCTGTAACAAACAACAACAGTAAAATAAGTTAGATAAAAAATAAGGAAAGCTATGTCTGCAGTAGTGATTTATAAGAAACGCATAGGTACAGGAAGAGAAGTAAAAGAGAATTCTCTTTAGCCAACATTGGTGATATTTATGCCATGTATTTAATTTGAAATTGTCCAAATTATCTTGGTAGTTCATTATGGATCTGTTGGAATGGTTATTCTGCTAGATATTTTTCAAGAGTGTTATCAAGATGCAATTTACAGTCATCACTGTTACAAAGGCACACAGTCAAAGCACTGGAGTTAATTGCTATTTAAATGTGATGTCTGTAGCGTGACACTGCTGGTAGCCTGATTTCATTTTTATTTTTTAATTTTAACTACAGTGTGGGAAGGGAGCCAATAAGAAATACTCAAGTATATCTGGTTTCAGTGTAGATACAGTTCTGCCTCCATAGCTGACACTGCTTGACATCAGTTAAATTAAAGGCTGACTGGGCATGTCCTGTCAGCTGCCACCTTGAAACTGACCTCCAGCTTCAAGATGAGGCCTGCTGACAAGTGAGCAGGGGGAGTTTGCGTTGCTGTTGTCATGTATTGCCTGTTTGATAGCTTCAAACGCAAATATACTTGAGTGCTAAAACATCTTTTCAAATGTATATGCCAAAATAGTAATTCAACTGGGTAAATAACGCAGCAGTTTAAATGAATAAGTGTTATTTAGTTGATAAATATATGTTTGACTGAACGGTTGAAATGGCTCCCCTGGGTAAGATGAGGAAGTATGCTTTTAAAATTCTCTTTTGTAAATGTTTATCGAGAAGAAATCACAGGAAAAAAATCAAGTATCCATGGGGTTATGAGATAAACAAACAAAACTCTAAAACAGTCACCCACAGCAGAGATAATAATGTTGGGATTTATTTGTTCACAATAGTATGAGTTGTTTGGGTTAGTCTTTCTTCCCAGATTTGTCAGTTTGTCACATCTGTAACTTCACTTGAATGCAGGTGATGTTCTTTGAATGTGATCTGCAGTGGTCCATCAAAATGGAAAAGCTTCCAAAAATAGCTGGAGGGGAGTGAGTCAGGCAGCAAGATACATTCTCTACATTAGGAGGTGAAGACTGAAGGGAGGTATAAAAAAAAAAGTTTACTTTAAGAGTCTCTAGAGACAGAGTTTATAAGTGAAGCTGTTAGTGCAGGAAAGGGCATTGCAAATATAAAGCTAGGATGATGTTCTGCTTTTCAGGTTTAAAAAAATAAGCCTATTAACTAATAAAAGAGGTTGAGTGGTCATATCTACTTTGCATTTCATTTCTGTATTTCTAATTTGGGGAGGAAGGAACATGAAGAGGCCAATGTTGAGACACCTCCTGTAGTATTTTTATGTGACTGCTCTGCATTACTGATCTTCAAGGTGAGAATTTTTAATAGGTCGTTGTTAATAATTCTGTTTTACAAGTCATCATCTGAGAACATCAAGTTCATGACCAAGTCAGGTGCACTGGCTGTGTCAAAGCAAGGAGTAGAACCAAGATGCTCTCCCTAGTTTTGTGTTTCATACCAACAAGAGTAACTCAGCAGAAATTCATGAAAATATGATTCAATAATACATAATCTTTAGAGCTCTGATAGCTTAATAATTTTTATGAATTAGTACTTAAACTTGCAAATATAGAACGTATTTTAATACAACTTCAAGCATTTCTGAATGATGTTATTTCGGCATTGTAATGTAGAGCCATAAAAACAGGATGTCGTGTACTGAATTCTTAAAAGCAGAAGGATCTCTTTCAGCATGCTGGAGTTGAAGACAGCAGCTGTTTCTCACAGACATTGCACAGGCTGGATATGGAGCAGAGGCGTGCCATACTACAAAATACAGACTTGAAAATAAGGAGTCATTCCTCCGTTCCATTCTTTGTTAGGTTAAGTATATCTCGATTGCTTGTGATAGTTGCTCATGTAACTTGCTCTTAAAATCCTCTGCTATGTTGAACCCCTACAGCTATCACAGTTCTCTTCCTAGGTAGATTTTCCTGAGACGCTCAAATGTTCCAGAAGGAGTTGTTTGGACAACTAGAAACCAGGTCATTTGTGTTGTAAACCAAAAAAAGAGCATCTATGGGGAGGTTCTTCCAGAGACAGTGCCAAACTGCACTGAATCATTTCAGTATTAGGAACCTGAATTGTGTCTCTAGGGTGATTGATAATTACAAATTCAATTGTCTTATCTGCAGTTTTCAACAATTTTTAAGCTAACAAATTCAAAATTTTCGTGAGCAATGTAAAGGAATGGTCTTTTTCTGATAACTTTTTGTTGGAAGAGTTTGACATCCAATATATATGTTTACCTGTGAGGTGCATACTGAAGTAGTGTGAGTGTAACTCTGGTTCTCCTGATGACTGGAATACTCTCGTTTTGGCTTAATTGATGCATTTGAGGATTCTTGACTCCTGAAAAATGCCCTTTCCCAGACAGAAATACCAAACAGAGTTTTGGAAAAACCAAATGAGACTAAGGCTAAAGTCAACTAGAAATACTAAAACTTGAGCCTCCATAAGAATTAAATTTATTTGCAAAGTTGTAATTCAAGGCTATATACTCAGCAAACCTGGAAGCAGTGTAATTCGTATAAGTCAGTAGTGGTGGTGTTTTGTGGTCTGCTTTAGTAGCCAATGAAACCATAATCTCCAACAGGGACTATGGTGGTCTTACCATTTGCATGCTCAGTAAGCTTGCTGCACTGGATAAAAGTGAGGTACAGTGGCTGAAGCAATATTCAGCATCATTTCCATTTGATGTAGGTGGAAAACACGTGATTCAGTAATTTATGAAGCAGATGTATGCATGAGGGCATTCCAACACCACAGCACTTCTTAGAGTGTTCTGACAAGGGTCCATTTTTCTAAAACTTGTTCTGTGGCATAGGCTATTTGTGTGTGTTAGTAGCCATTTCAGTACTTAATAGCCCTGATATGAATATATGTTTACACATATACATTATGTATATGTCTATGACAGGAGGTGGCTGTTTATTTTTTAACTAATTGGAATATCAGATTTGTGCTGCTAATACCAGCCATATCTCTAAATATACATGACCACAGCTCCATTGAATTCTAGAACTGTATTAAGGAGTAAAAAGTGTTATATAAATACTGTATTAAAAAGGATAAAGTATTGCTTAAAAAGAAACGAAATGAGAAGCAGGTTCCAAAATCGGGGGAGGCAACTGATGTCAAACAGATCTAAGCTCCAGATTCCCACCCATTTTATGTGTGGATGGCACTTACCAACGTCAGTATTCTTTGTCAAAGGTTTGTGCTAGCTTCCATGAACTAGAGCAGCTTTGTTCTAAATTAACCAAAGTGAAAAAATACATAATGCAGATAATTTATTAAGTATAAGGACTATGTGGACAGAGAATACTTGAAGAGGCACTGGTCTGTTAATCTTCCTGCCTTTATTACTTACACAGCTTTTATCATAATAATGCGTGCTGTAATACTTCCTGCAAATAGTTTTTTCTTTAACTGTTTCAGTTTGTGGATATACTGATCCGAAGAACAAGGTTCTTTAGAGTGTGTCCAGGAGTCTGTTCTCAATCTTACACTGGCTTCCCAGTTCTGCCAGTGATGCCAGTATAGCATTCAACAGGTGATTTTATATGCTCTGTACCTGGTTTTCCTATCCACTGGGGTAAGGACTAATTTAAATTCTAGTGAGATGGTGCCTGACTTCACTGAGGTAGGAAATTTGAGATACCTTCTGTTGCAGTAATCCGTTAGAAATGAAATCGTGTAGCTTTTATGAAACATTACTTGTTTGAATCTGGTTGATACCTGTGTTCTTGGGTGACTCTAAAGGCATGTTGTTGGACGTTCTCAGCCATGTTTCCTTTCTTTGCAGCCTGTATTTGCAGCTTCTTATGCTTTCTTTTTTTCTTAGTGCTGTGACATTATTGTAGACCCATTAACATGGAAAATGAAAAAACAAACAAGTTGCCAAGAACTGCATAGCAGTTGGTATTCAGAGCATTCTTTTACCATTTCAAAACACTGCCGAAATAATATCTGTTTTCGTTGTGTACAACTGTAAGTGCTGCTAACATAGATGATTTGGATCTATAATTGAAACCATGCTATTGCAGCTCTCTCAATTAAAGATAGTCAAGACAGAAAAGCTGTTATATACTCACCTGCTGGAATTATATGCCATTCTGTGCCATCCTGTTTCGTTCATACAGTGCTGGAATATATTTCAAAAGTAACTTGCCGTTTATTGAAAATAGCATCACACCATGAAAAAAGCACGAAGTAAACACTGAGCTTTTAACAAATACAGGTTGTATCAGAGGTATCACCACCATCCAGTGTGTACTAATAGTGATATTAATGATATCTTTAAATGTCTCTGTTAACAGGTATTTTCTTTGGTTTTCTGGTCTTCATACTATCTGTCGTAATAATTTTTAAATGGATTTCTCACCATGTTGTTTGGGAATATGGAACACAAAATCAAGCGTTGCTACATACTGTAGCTTGAAGGCACTGCTAGCTCTTCACGTATCGCACTCCATGTTTAAATTATGTGTAGCCTCAGAACCGTCCTGTTCAGATGAGAACAGAAGGGATTTGCACCATGTTTTAAAGGTTGGCTATTTCATGGGCTGGAAGCTCGAGCACTCAACCAGAAAGGTCTTGTATCTTGTCTTCAATAATGCATGCTGGAGAACCATCAGATGACGGATTTTAACTAAGCACAGCACGAGGGAGAAAGACTTGTAGATAGTCCCTGATCAGGCAGAGAGAACTTAAAAGGCAGCGCATTGAGTTGTACTAACTTCCTTTCAGGAAGGAGAAGATGCATGTTAGGAGTACAGAGGCTATCCTTTCAATCCTCTTCTGTGCATTTCATTTCTTCTGTCAACTGTCTTGTCTGTGACGGGGAGTTTATTGGGCTACTTTACTGTATAAAACAATAGTAAATAAAAATTTGCTCTCCATTCATTTAGATTGAAGTTAGCCCTTCAGTCCACCTTTCTGATATTTTTTTTATATCCTGGTTGCATACAAGATGTAACTGAAAAGAGCACAGGGAGATTTGTATGTGCTTAACTGACTCTTTACTGTTACTATATTTGATCAGTAAAGAGCAATTGTAGAATTAAAGGGTCGGAGGCATTAGAAGATTGCTTATGCTCCACAGAAAAAAATCTTCTTTCTGCAACTATAGGGGCCGAATTCTTACATATTTATTGAAACAGCAGGCAGATTGCAACAGATTAAGAAAGGAAAGTTACGGTTTGATTTAAAAGCTGGCATTGCCACAGATGTTCATCTTGCATGAATAAAAATACCTGTATTAAAAGCAGTTATCTCATTTGATTCATATTTGCTTTTGTTTTGTAGGACCATGGGTCACTAGGAATAGCAGCATAGATAGCGGAGAAACAGAAGTTGGCCGCAGGGTCACCCAGGAAGTGCCCCCTGGAGTTTTTTGGCGATCTCAGATCCATATCAGCCAGCCCCAGTTCCTGAAATTCAACATATCCTTAGGGAAGGATGCTCTTTTTGGTGTTTATATAAGAAGAGGACTCCCACCATCACATGCCCAGGTACTTTATCAATGTATTTGTTGGCTTTAAATATCAAAATGCAAAACTTTAGAGCACCTATGTTAGATTTCTGTTGGAGCTTCTGGAGCTCAAGTTTACAGATCCCTGGGAATTGTTTTATTTGTGGTATTTGACTGCACACCCTGATATTAAGATTTCTAGGTTATTACATACCTCAACAGTACAGTGATAAAAGAAGTAATCAATGATGTTCTTGCCATTCAAGTTTTTAAGATAACATGCAGTTTGGCACTCAAGTTTTTAAATCTCTGACAAAATCTTGGCACCAAGTGGGATAAACCTATCCAGTTGCAACTCAGGCAAAAATGACGAGTGATGTGGGTCAGACTCACGGTGTCAAAGCACTGCGTACAGCTGGAACGCATGCACAGCTAGATGTGTTAACGTATCATTTTATATCTTGATAGAAGTTTTGATCTCCACAGGCTGTTGGAGTGGTATCGCTGGGGTATACAACAGACTTTGACATCGCTGTCACCCAGCCATATTAGAGAGCATAATGCAGTGGCCATGTGTTTAAGAGCTTTGATTTTACTACTTTTCCCTCAAGGACAGTATTTAGGTACAGTATCTGGCTCAGACATGGGGCAAGTCTTGAAGCTGGGAAACCCAGATCCTTTTGATTTCTAACCAGCCTCATAGGTGAAAACTCACTAACACTGCACTTTTGCAGTGGTCTTCTACTACAGAGTTAAGGGCTGTAGGTAATGATAGTTTTAAAGTTAGTGAGACCAGACTGAAGTGTCTTTTTCTTCTAGGTTGTGCAGTGGGCGTTTTCATTTCCTTGTGAGAAGATATAGCTATATTTTCTGTTAGAGACAATTTTTTTTGTTATATTGATAACTCATTAATGTGAATGGAAGGCTTCCCGTTTACTTAGATTAGAACTGTACTGAGAAAGAATATATTTGCAGTTACACATACTAAAAGGAAAGAGCCTCCATTCCTTAGAGTGCAAGAGAAGCAGAAATAGCAACCATCTTTTGGAGAGGAACCCTTCCTTCATGCATATCCTTGCTGCTAAAAATTGTTTCTTCATTCAGAAATTATCACCTAAACTTAAAATGCCTTATTTAGTATATGGTTTCCAAAAAGCAAATGTAGAACTCGAAGATCCCTTTTGGGAAAGCCCCATTTAACATTTCTAACATCCCTTGCCCTGATTTACAAAGAACTGCTACTACTTTTTTAATTTTTTTTTTCATTTGGCAAAGCAAACTGCAATTACAGAAATGGTTAAAATGCATGATCCAAGCTAAAAGCCCAGAGCCTTTAACAAAAATTGCATTGCTACATGTTGCCATATAGGAAGAGTACGCTCATATTGCCTACAAGCAGGTATCAACCCTAAGTGAACTGTGTCCATGTGCATGCACAAACTCATGGTTTTCACAAACAGTGAACAAATTAATTTTCTGGGGAAAACTACAGTTAAATTAACCGAATTTTGGATCTGCTTCCCAATGTGAGGCAAATTTATGGAACTGTTCTGCATTGCCTCTTGTTCCTTGGTGTTTATTCTTGCCTGTAGTCTGAATTGAGAACTAAAATCTTTAAACAGAGTTGGGAGGAAAGAGAAGAGGTTTACATGGGTTTATGACCTCTACTTCTAAGAATCTGTGAATAAGGATCTTTGGCTATCCAAACTCCATCAGCTTTCTGTAGTATGCTGTTTTGTGTTCTGCGAGTTATTGAATGGATATATCTGACTGGTAAGAAATAAGCATCAGTAGTCCACAGCCCAAGGAGGGGAGGGCAGGACGAGTGGTCAGTATTCCATGTAGCCATAGGTTAGCGTACAGCATCCCGAAGTTCTGTACAAAGACTAGATAAATTGTGGAAGTTGTAGAGGGCTGTTGACTATTTTCAGCCATTTCTAGACATCCATGCAACACAGAAGATATCCACAGAGAATGTGTTCCAGTGTGGGAGACCTTCTTAAGAATATTTTGATTTTGCCTGTAATGCTTCGTTATGTTGTCTTGAGGGCAAAATTACGTCTATGGATCTTTAACTGTTGCAATGAGGTGGTGGCATAATTCATTGAGCATGTCCCATTTAATTCAGAATTTTGGTGCTCACTTCCCCTATCATTCCACCATGAAAAAACCAGCAATTTCATTGAAAACAAACACAAGTTTAAATCATGAAGTGAAAATTACTTAGGGCAATGAAAGCGCCTAAGCAATCATCAAGGTTTGCTATAAATACAAGTTGTCTGGCTCTCTAATTGTCTGGCTAAGACATCGTGGCACTATGCCTGTATCTTTTACAAGAAATCCAGTTGGATGTAACTGGTAGTATAAAATACGTTTTTAATTGAAGATGAACTTTAATTTCTATTGCACTATGATCAAATGTATTTGTTCTAGGTTTCGTTATGATGTTCTTATCTGAGAAGGCTATGATCAGGCAAAGTTTCTCTTCTTTCTTTCGTTCCACCTTACATGGATAGAATATGAATTTCATGGCCTTTCTGTTCAATTAAATAATAAGAAATATCAGCTATGTCTCCTGCTGAGCTGGATTCATCCTCAGAGAACCTGTTTTCCAGACTTTAGAGGAAGCAATTCCAACCCTCTTCCATAACTGGAGTTAATGAAGTTCACCAGTATAATCTGCAGAACTACTTTCCCATATTCATGCATGGTCCTGATGGTTGTCAACAGGGTGATACGGCAGAGGATTGCTTGGCACTTCTGTCCAGCTATCAAAATTCAGCCAAGCTGCTACCAAGAGAAATAGTTTTAGAAGGAGAAAGGCAAGCTGCTACAGACCTGAGTTAGTGAAAAGAAGCCTTGTTCTGACAGAAAGGAGCAGAATGGTTTTGTATTAACAAATAGTCTGAAGTTGACACCAGACAATATTTTAAAATTGAAATTTAAAATCCTTGTTTCTGAAGGTTAGGGACGTGAGCTGTAAAGCAGTGAACAACTACACTTGACAGTTCATCACTAATCAGTGCTGATATGTCAAGCGAAGTAAAATCCTTTGTGGGAGCAAGTCAATAATCAGCAAATTAGGTACATGATTAACCTGAGACAACAAGATGCAGTTCCTGTCTGAGAGCCCTGCTGAGATTTAACCTTCTCAGTATTACTGTTTAGCAAATATTCCAAATGTCTGGTTTAGTCAGTCAAACTGATCTAGCTGTAAACTTGTCTAGAAGCAGCCTTGTGTGCCCTGTGCATAGGGAATGGAGCTCTGGAGAAGAGGTAAAAATGCAGTTTTGAGTGGCAAGCAGGCTACAAATAGGAATACATTGCTTTCAAGGAGAATTCTTCCAACCTGTGTAATACTACATAGTAATAACAAAATGCACATTGCGGGCTTGAATGTTCAATAGGAAATTAGTAGAAGATAGTCATATTAATAAAATTGATACTGTATAGAAAATGAACTGTAAATGTCAAATAATGCATGAAGTGACTCTACAGAGATTACAGCAATTATGATGTTACTACACATTGGTAGAACATTCCAAATGACGCATGAAATGAGATAACCTTATAGAAACATCACTGTAATGTCTGGAGAAGGCAGTGCATACAGCTGTATTGTTTTCATTGCCAGCAGAGCACTTTATACTTACAAATTTTTCATGTCAAAATGAAAACTGTTTTCATTTAGAACAGGAAATGGCTTTATTTGAAACAACGTGAATAGCCGGGGAGCTTCAGTGTTACCTTGTTCTTTAGCGTGTGCTCAAACACATTTAGGCGCTCTGACCATGTTAAAGTTATCTGATGGCAACTGTTATTACTGAATGCTGTGCTGCATCGTACTGGTTGTGTTGTGTCACATTCAAATGCTCAAAAGAATTCAAATCCAAATTCAAAAGAAACAAATCAGTTGGCTGTCGCTGTGGGTATCAGATGTTTCGTGGATGTATTTTAATGAGTAATTACCAACTGGATTTTATGAAGAACTAATTTTAAAGCACTTTGCAAACAAGTTTCCCTGATACATGTTTTCTTGGCTGCTTAGGTCTTCCAGGCCTTTGGCATAAAGACAAATGCTATCCACAACGCCAGACATCTTTTTTCCTTCTTTTTTCCCCCCTTCATTTGAATATGCATCCAGTATTAAGACAAGAGTTCTAAAAAATCTTTCTTTTCAATTCCTGCTTTCAAACACCGTTAGGGATTCTGTGGAGGCTCTCAGTGTTTTCAGTCTTGACCCCTGCAAGCTCTTTTTGCTTTGCCGTGCTTTCACAGCTAGTTCACTTCCCGTAGGCAACTGGGCTCCATCGATCTGTGCTATATGGATGGCATTGTGCAGTGTAGTCGCTACCGTATCCATGAAGTTCCAAAACTGTTTTGCTGACTCCCCATGGTTACTGGAAAAAGAAAGTCCTTATTAGCCTATGAATAAAATGCACCGGAGCATAGAAAGCACCGAATGGAGAAATTATAAAAACAAATTGCCCAGAAAGAACTTAGTATGAGATTTAGGTTTGTAAATAAACGTATGCAGTAGGGGTTTGGTATGCTGCGTAGTAAAAATAAACAAACTCACTGAGAATGTGAATTTGGAATTTGTTCGGGGAAGTAGACTGGCAAGTCACTTGCTTATATGGAGCTTGGATCAGAGGAAGTATTCCCCCCCTGCAAAACTGAACTCTGAAGATGTCGTCGCTTGGGATTTCTGGTGCATTTTGTTTCTGAGCAGTTTTTGCAATTTTTGTGTGACTTCCAGTATGAAACCGTAAAATATAAAGTATTGTAATAAAAAAAAAAAAAAAAAAAAAAGGAAAAGTCAGTGGTCAGTGAAACTTCCAAATTACTTCAGAGATAGTTTGATTTGACAGATCCTTTCCCTAATTCATGTGATTTAGTTGTCTCTTCCTTAGCAGTTGTGTGTGTTAGATTAAAAATTCCAGTTGCTTCTTAATGATCATGAAAGTACTTTGTTTCTTTTCCTAGGTGGGTCTTCTAATCTATGTGTATTTGTCAGTACGTGACTTTAAAGCAAGAGTGGTATCTTCAGCACAGCATTACATAAAAGTAATTAATCAGGCAGGTGTGGTAAATCAGAAAGTCAACAGGGCCACAAGAAGCAAAATGATGATTCAGCCAACTACATGAAGAAATTTTGTCGGGTTATGAATTGACAATACCATCTGGTGACCCTTCAGTCACGGATTTTAGATTTTGGGGTACATATACCTAGTATTTGCTGAGACATTAAGGTTTACACACCCAGGGAAACACCAGCAGATACATTATCTTTCTTCTTTTTTCCTCAGTCCCGAGGAATCCAAAGAGGGATAAAAGTGTATTGTTATCTTCCGTACCAGTTTGCACCAGTACTTCACCATTCGTAACATTATTTAGGTTTAGTAATTTTGTTTTTGCCTGAGCGTGAAATAGTTCTTCATAGTTTGATTGAAGAGAGGCAATACCAGTCTTAACTTTACCAAAGTTAAAATTGTAGCCTTATGGGGAGTCATGCCAAGGCACCTACTCTCACTAGGTCACACCCCATCATTGCGAAAAGAGATTCTGCAGCTGAAACTACTTCAAGCAGTTTCAGCCTGAATACTCTTCCCCTTCGATCTTGCCAACTGCTGAGCCTTCTCTGCTGTATGAGGTAGAATCAGCATCAAACAGAGGGGAGGCAGAGGAACCTGCCAGCACAAGCAGAGATGAACAGCATGTTGCCAGTGAGAAATGTCAGCTTTTATTGCTACTTCCTTAGTTGACCCTTTGTGAACAATTGTTCTGAAGAGCAAGATTTCTTTTTCCCAAGATGTTGCCCAAGTAATAACATTTCCCAAGGAGGTGATGAGTCTGTCCTTAACCTCTGACCGTTAGACGATAGGTTTTAGCAATGTTTCCAAATGTCATTGATTTAAGAGATAGATACCTGTGTGTTTGGCACCTCTGATACTCTGAAAGTTACTGACATGCCAGAATTCTCTCAATCTCTGGCATGTGGTGGCTTAAATGTACTAATTCACCTGATTTACCTCCTCCTGCAAAAATGTGAAAAAAGGCTGAAGTGGATGGCAATCTGATACTAA